TTACTATAGCCAAGCTTTACTATAAGGGGATTAAAATATTTTTTTCGTGAAGTTATAGGAGTTTTCTTTTATGAAACCCTTGTCATTTATTTTTGAGGACAAAACTTTGTGTAAGTCTAAGTTTCTCAGAATTCATTGTGGAGATCTAAAATGAAGATGGATTCAAATATTTTTGGACTTCTTTAATAACTGGACAAAATAAGAGAGTAAAATTTAACATAAATTAAGGATAAGGATATAATTAAAGGATAGTGAAAACACAGCCTATTTTCACTATCCTTATGCTATCTTAGAATATTTAATCCATGATGGTCTACTTTGCAAAACTGCAGGTCTAAAGAATGGACATCAGACCACTAATTCATGTTTTAATTTACCATTAGTTATATGGAAAATATATACTATCTAAATAGCCACATTTGGGTCCAATAACTCAATATATGTCTGTAAGTGATAAATACATGTTAGATATTTATTTTAAGATACACTTAGGATTTTAAAAAATGAGTCCTTGGGTAGGATAGATTTGTTTCAGTGTTGAAACTGTTGAAAGCAAGAAAACAAAGTAAGAGATTGAGAGCAACATTTACATAGTATGTAAAGTAAACCTAACAAGCCAAGCCAAATACCAAATCTTGGCTCTGTGTCATGGAACCTTTATGGTGTCACTGTGGTAAGGATTGCAAAACAGAGAGAAAGGGAACAGAGAGCCAAAAAATTCCTTAATGAAGCACATTCAAGAGAGAGTATATTTCCCATAACAGCTAAGTCCTTTTCCATAGTTATTCTTTTCTGAAATGTGTTACTTTGCAAGAATCTCTATAACCTAAGCTACTGAGTTCTCACTGTGGTTTTGACAAGGGAGTAAAGGTGTGCAGAAAGTAAACTGTTAGAATTTTGTTTCTGGACTTTTAGAATGGGATGTCATCTGCCTAAATCCTATATTAACAAGAGGTCAGGTGCATTTATATTTCACTAATTAAGCCAGTCAAACTGTTTTTCAGTGTTACTTTAAACAATGTCTCCTAGTCTAAACTGGAAGCTCCCCTGCTAAACTCCCTATACTTGAGCTGCCTGCACATGAACAAAAATGTCTAAATAAAAGATGCAATTTTTTCCACTGAGAGGTCTAGGCAGCTAATTTGAGGCTTCTAGGAGAGGTGCAGCTTTCCTGTTTCTGTCTGTTTTGTTTTTCTTTCTTTTTTTTTTTTTTTCTTTTT